TTATTAACAAATTCTAAGACATAGGATCCGAGGTACGGAAATGACTGCAGTGCTGCAAGCAAATACAAGCCTAATTTCATGCACAGTGATGTTGTCATGGCATAAGTCGATATCGTACTATAGAGCAAAATCATCATCCTGATCCTTTTCCGAGTGATGATGAACAGCATGACAGTGAACGCATACACCAAGTACGTATTCAAAAACCACAGCCATCTGATCAAAGTCAGCAACATTTTTTACTGGCAACTATTTAACTGTGTGTTAGGGTCTGGCTGTGGCGGGCAAAAAAAGTGCCACACAGCCGCCCCTCCGCCCGCCGGGGTGTGGAGGAGAATGTAAAGAAACAGGCAGAAACTGGTGGGTCAGGATAAGGGCAGTTTAACAGAACATCAAACAAAGGGAACAGGAACAACAACGATACAGATAAGGGGAAAACACAACACAAGCCGCATGACCCACAGAGCCGCTCTCCTGCACCGCCGCCACTGTGCGCTCCCAAGCCATGAGTGAGTTCCTGCTGCCCCGCTTCCCCCCACCGGAACCCAGTATGATGGCACATGGTATGGAATACCCGGCTCTGTTTGGCCAGGTTGGGTCAGCCCGCCCAGCTGTGCCCCTTCCTGGATTCTGGTGAAAATTAACCCTGTCCTGGCCGAACCCAGGACAAGAATGAATGGGTTAAATAAGAGGAATTCAGGAACTGGAGGAGCTTATGTTCTGTGTAACATTTTTTCACCTTATAAGATGAGAGAGACCTAATCTTTCTGCAGGACATTCGTAAGATTGTTCGTCAGCATGCAAACAAAGTCTTTCTAGGAGCTTCCATTCCCCCATTCTCAGGTTCATGCAATACAACTGGTCTACCATTATCATAATTTACCTTGCTTTCATTTTTTTCTACCATATCATCAGCTTTTTGCATTTGTCTCAATACATTGTGCTTCCATTTCCCTTTTCAGTACGGTTCTTCCTCATACACCCCTCATTCCCTTCCATTCTCTAAATCAGAGTTCTTTAGGGAACTCTGAAAAGAATTGGTAACACTTTCCTTTTAGACACTGAACGCCTTTATCCATTCAAGTCAATACAGCATGCAAACGCTTTTATGCCTTGCTCTGAAGAGGGGAGAAATGAGGTATTTGTGATCGTTGCTCAGTTAATTTTTCAACCAGGCAATGAATCAAAAGGGCCCTTAATGAAGTCAAGGACAAGTTCCAGTGTGGTTTTTTTTCTGGTTGATTTTGTGTTTGCATTGGTTTGGGTTTTTTTTTTCTGAACTTTCTTAAGTCCACTTTGATTTAGAGTTTAATGAATTCTGAGCCCATAAGGAAAAGGAGGACACTATGGAGAGTCATAAAAAGAGGTAACATGTTTTGTTTACTTTCCAGAGTTAAAAATTCTCCTCTCAAGCAGTCTCCAGGCTACCAAATTGAGCTAGTTATCCAGTTAGTGTGGGTGAGTGGAGAACCTCCTCAACAGATAACCAGCTTAGCAGTCAACTCAGCGTATGGCCTGTAAGTGTATTCTACACATTTTTTCTGTTATTCTCTTAAAGTGGTTTAAAATTATCTATTAAAAATTCAGTTTGTGTGTGTTCACATAAGCTGCACAGCAACACGAGAGGCAGTCAGTCTCCTGTGCTGCTGATAACATCAGAAACAAGGCTCTGTCAGACAGGTTGGCAAGTACAATGACGGTGCTCACTCTACTCAGTCATGGGTTTTTACAAGAGAACAATTAAACAATACTGCATTATAAAATAGTAATTTATCAATGTCTAATTTAGGATAATGCGTAAAAATTATCAAGTCTTAAAATGCTGAACAGCAACAAACACCAATGTGAAACTTTACCAATATTTGATTAGCACTCTCTTTGCTTCCACTTCTCCTTTTCCAGAGTAGTTTTTGGAAACTGTAATGGTATTGCCATGGTTGATTACCTTCAGAAGACAGTGCTCTTGAATCTAGGCACTATTGAACTGTATGGCTCCAATGATCCTTATCGCAGGGAGCCACGATCTCCCCGAAAAACTCGGCAACCATCTGGAGGTGAGTAACCAGGAACTTGTTTTAAGTTCAGAAGAAAGGCATGGTTGGTTATCTGGGCTATTGGTATATATTCTTTGAATACAGGCATGCTTTCTGCATTGTGGTTTCATGCTTTCTTCTTTATCTGTCCCTAATGTCACTATTGCAGGCTTGTTTCCTTCAAAACTGTTGCTCAGTGGAATCTACTGATGCTTGATATCATCACTCATTTTTCCATGTAATGTATGTTTAAGAAGAAACAGATGGGGAAAATGTTATCTGTGTGAATAGGCATCGGTATAAATGTACAATGGATTTATGCAGTTTATAAGGTTTTAATTTAATAACACAGTATGAAGAAGTAGAATTATCCTGATATTTCTGATAAACCTAGTACCTATCACATGCTTATATAAACCCATTAATGTTTGCAGGCAGCCCATGTTTCTGCTGGGATCTTTGGCCTCCTATTTTAAACTTTAACTAGAAATATCCATGATAACATCAGCTAAAGCATGTTATCTATACTGTTATGTTATGCTTGAGAAGAAGCCTTTGATTTAAATGAACCAAATAAACTTGCAAATACAAACTGATAAAACCTTTTTTAAGAAAGGTCTTTGAAAAAGATACTGAAGAGAGGCATTTCTTTGCAGCTGAGGAGGAAAGTGAGTTTTTAGTCAAAATGCCTGAGCTTTTTACTGCCGAAAGGTAAAAGAATATTTTTTAATGATTTTCTCCTCCTTGCTATGTAGTGGTTACTTTTAAGTTGATTTGGAAAACTGCTAAAGATGAAAGAACGTCACTGCTGCCCAAATGATTACTTTTCGATAGGAAATAATTTGTTCAAAAAAACTTCTTCGTGCTCTAGTGTTTGTTGCTTTATTTTAAGAGATCCAGAATAAAGTCCAGGTAAGTTCTTGAGGTCACATTCAAATTGAAATGGATGCTCTAAGATGTATTTTTAGTAAATCATTAGTTTGAGAAAGATCCAGTTAGTACCAGTCAGCTTGTTTTGACTGAGGAAACTGGTCTAAAAATCATGAATGTAGAGCAAAACGTGTACAGTTGGTATCCTGTCAGATAAAATATTTCCTCCTAATAATTATAAACTCCAATAAAATTACTTAAGAGAAAGAGATAACTGCTGGTTGACTGTGTTAATTCCTCTTGGTTTCAAAGGGCTTAAATTCTGCTTTGTGCATTTAGATTATAAACTGCCTTTTGGAATGTTAAACATTACTTGCTTTGTTTTCTTGGCCTTTGTTATTTTAATGTATTGGATCTGCGTAACTGAGTTACAACTGTGTCTCAAAGGTATTCATAAATGAAGTCCTTTTTGCTCATGAATAGAACAGTTACATGAAATCATATTTTTTCATCTTGCATTTTAATACTAACGATCTGCATGGCAAGAGCATTTTATAAACCTAGTGATACAAGTTGTTCTGCTGGCTTTTCTGTCTCAAATGTACTGTTAGTGTCTCCGTCTTTCCTTTTCTCATTGCTTCATAAAGGTATGCTGACTGTGGCTTCTTGCATGTGCGGCCTTTCTAACTTATATTCAGAGTCTGTGAAAAAGCTTCGCACCTCTTATATAAGTAAGTCATCTCATGGCAAAAAAATTTTTGAACATCTGAATTTGATTTTTTTTAACTTTCTCATTCACCATAAATTTTTTTGTTAGGCCATTTTAAGTAATTGTTTTACAAACTGATTTTAATCCATCACACATTTATTGTATTTCTTGTTCATGGTCTCTTTAAAAGAAACTTGAAGGAAAAAAAGCAGCCATAGTAGTCTGTCTTTTGTGGTTTTAAATAAATGTCAAAATCAAAAGGAGATCCTGTCTCAGAAGCTACCGATGTCTACAGACCCAAAAATCTTACTCACCAAACTGAGTGTTGTTTTGAGATCTGAGGCTAGAAGCTTCTCTTGCTTGGTCCCCTTTCCGGCAGAAGAAGCTTCAGGACTCTAGTGTTACATTATTATTAATAATATTTAACATTGTAAGAGACAGTAATTGGTTACAAATGAAAATTTACTTCTACAGATCTGTTGTCATAGGGATTAAGAGTGGAGGTGTTTGTGTATTGCACAGCCTTGTGGGGTTTCCAAGCAGTTTTGAGGTTTGGGTGCCTATGTGAGGGAGGTAGATCATGAGAATCATGATTTCCCTGAGGGCTTCTCTGACTTATCCCATCATTCACAGCACCCAAGAATGTGGTGAACATAAAGCTGATTTTCAAAAGCATAATCACAGAATCACAGAATCACAGAATAGTAGGGGTTGGAAGGGACCTCTGTGGG